CAGCCAGATTTGTCGGTGGACCGTTAGGCCAGATTTGACGCAGGTGCGTTCAGCGGCCCGCACCTGGCTCTTCAGTGAGCGGAGGTGGGTGGTGAACCAGGGGGAGAAGCGAAAGTAGGTTACAGTACGGGAGGTGATGGGGGCAAGAGTGTCGAGTGTGGAGGAGAGGGTGTTGTGGAGGAGGGTGAGAGGAGAAGAGGGATCAGTGAGGGTTGAAGGCCAGAGGGAGAGGAGTTCAGAGGACTCCAAGGCAGCGGTTAGGGATTGTGGGGGTAAAGAGGCTGACTAATGTGTGGAATGGATTAGTGTGCTGTTGCTGGAAATATTGGTAACATGCACATGGGTTATCTGCTCAGCAGTCGGATTTGTCACTGGCTCCATTGTTACTGACCAAGCAAAGGAACCAAACACAGGTATTAAAATAGCAAATAGAAACTAGAATAGCATCTCATTATATCATTCTGTACTGAATATAGTGGGGCAGCTTCCCTCATTAGGGCTTTCAGAGCCACTAAACAAGTTATTTTTAATGAACGTTTCCTGCTAACTAATTTACTCCAGCACCTTTTTGCTGCCGTTCTGTTCCCTCTTGCAACCTGTGTGTGATATAATACTGGAAGGACTTTCTACTCTATTAAAGGATCCTGTTAGACATCACTACATATTAAATCCCACTGACCACTTGAGATGAGTGCCAACTTTCTGCAGCTGAACATTGACAAGATGGAAACATTCCTTCCACTTGTCCCTGGCTTGTCAGTAGTCTTCACATTGCATTGAAGATCTTCCTCTTTGAACTTGCGACTAGTCACCTCCCCCTTCTCCCCGATTCAGCATCAAGCTCTACCACCATTAAACAATTCAAGATGCTGTCTGTGTGAAAGACACTATATTTTTGCAAACTGTTGCAGTTGAGGCTCACCAATCCATGCACTCATGGATCATACATGGACTCCAAAACCAACTGAGGACTGCATGATATCAACATTAATTACTTGATCAACTACAAGAATCTTGGATTGTTTAATGGTGGCGGAGCTTGACGCTGAACTGAGGAGATGACCGTACTTAAGGTCAAAGAGGAAGGTCTTGAGATGCAATTATTGAATATTCCTTGACCTATCTAAATGCTGCAATCTGAAATGATTGAATTCTCAGAAATACAGAATAAATAAAACAGCAGTAATATTTGTACTAATGCTCCAGAGAACAACCTTCAGAACTCATTTGAGCCAATTGATCATAGTGTAACTGTGTGCCACCTTCTGAGATATATGTTGGGAAAATAATGTTATTTACTCCCAGAATTGGTGCCACACTCAGTAAATTCTAATGTGATCAGATCTTGTCCTTACCACAGTCTGAATCTCAGTTGAAGAAACATTCCTGTGTAGAATTAGTTAGTGGCATCTTCATGTTCAGAATTCTATATTTTGGGGTCTAATTTGTGGTAATTCATATTGGGTTTGCTTAAAAAGAAATCCATTTCCAGAAGCAAATCCCACCAGAACCAAAATCCTCTTTTCAACATTTGGATTTCCAGGTTCTTAAATTGAGAAATCACTTAAATGAATAGCACAAAATTTATCTCATCGTTTCAAATACAGTAAAAGCAAAAAAAACGGCACGAGAAACAGAACACAAAATAAGAATAATGAGATTGGGAAAAGGGAAAGGTAAGCAGTGAAAATATTAATATGGTAACACTGCAGGATACAACACAGAAATGGGGTCTCAAGAACGGGAGAGTGGAATGCAATCTACTGAAACCAATGTGTGACAAACAATCAAGGCTATAAAGTCAGCAGGACAGATCATGAGAAAAAGGTAGAAAACAAAAGACAAAGTTTAAATGAATAAAAGGACAATGAGAGCAAGAAGCTGGAAGGAAGAATGGGTTAGCAGGATGGGCAATGGTAAAAAATTATAAATGTTTTATTTTAGCTTCATATTGTATTTTTGTGTATTGACTGTAATGTCTTTTCTCAATTCTGGACCCAATATTTTAATTGCAACCAGACCAACATCTTGTATAAATTTAGCAATATGTCCTTCCTCTTGTATTCAATGCCCCTATATTCTATACACTTGAATTCCATTTTGCTTTTTTGTGGTCCTATCTACTTGTACTTCTACATTCAGAGAACTTTAAGAATATTACTAATTTGAGAATATTTCTTGGATTGCTCTACTTCCCTAAACTTTACATTTCTCATCATTTAATTATTTTGCATTGGCTGAGTGTACTGGACACAATAAAGGCTATTGACACTGGTAGCATTCTGGCAATAGTGATCAATACATTTAACCAGAACTAAGCAAAGAAACCTAAATGATTTTGATAGGAACCTGAATGGGGCTCAGGTGGATGTACAACTTATAATAATAATAATCATAATCCCTGCATTTGATATTGTGCCTCATCATGTCTTCGAAAAGTCTCAAAGCCCTTCGCAGAATATACTGTGAAGTGAATTGACTGTATAATTTGTGGGCGAAATGCAGCAGCCAATTGTGCACAACAATATACCACAAACAGTCGTAGAATGAATGACCAAATTATTGTTATATATTTTTGAAAGGAATTATTATCCTTGGGAAAGCAATCCGCCAATCGACTAACAACCGGATTCCTACTTACTGCTAGGTAACCGGAGGTGTGTGGAGTAAGGAAACTTACCCAACATTTCGCCTTGCCCGGAATCGAACCCTGGTCTCTCGCTTGCAAGGTGAGTGCTCTAACCCCTGAGCTACAGGACTCCATGTAGGCTATTATACAATTTAGGCGATATTCAATTTAGGCAATGCACAATTTATAAAGAAAACTTATGCAAGTTTTACTGTATATGCAAAATAAAATTAAAATGATTTGATGTATTTGTGTCCTTTTTAATGTTTATCTGCACTTAAGTTGTGTTGTGAAGGTTTGATTTGATTATTAATGCATGTTAAAATTTTCCCAGGAATTCCTCCAGGCCATGAGACTGAGTCTTGTATTTTTACAGCTGCATCCCTCACTCCCTGTTGACTTCCACACTCCTGGAGCAGGCCTCATTTAAATCCCCAAACCACATAGATTGTTGTCCAGGTTGAACCCTGTGACTTGTACCAGCAATGGAAACAGCTTTGACTGAGGGGAGAGGCTCCACATTCATGGAAATCTTAAGCAAAGAGCATTTAGAGGAGACAAAAGGAAAAGGAAATAGAGTGAAACTGATGAGAACTAGAATCCCAAGTAAACTGAGAAATACTGGAGGAAGAGAAGAAGAAATAGTAAAAGAAAAAGGTTTTAAATCAAAGAGGTCAACAGATCATAAAACTGCTTTACAGAACAGAGATTTTGCATGAACAGTTGAAACGTTTTTGCATTAGTTTAACAACTCTATAGTGTATCAGAGGATTCAGAAAGAGAACATGAATCCAGGAAGGGTTTGCGTTACAGTTCTGTGCAAGGGCAGATTTTCAGTGCACTAAAAGATCGGGCTCAGATGTCGAGTATGAACATTTGGTCGTGCTTACAGCTGAGCTGCTAAAATAACAAGGGGGTGGGTAGTCATAAATTGTGGTATTTTTAAACACATCCTGGAGTAAAATACAAACATAAGGAGCCTGGATGCTGATGGCAATAATGTATAGGCCATAATAATAGCTTATGAACATTGTCTCTGGAAGGTTCCAAAACTTACAGCAGCACCGTAGACAATCAGAAACTGTTGTCAGATTGTGGCTCAGGGCCTGATGAACAACTACAATCGTATCACAAATAAGATGATAAGCACTCATTGACGGCTCTGCTGTAAATATACATCTATTTTAAAGGAAGAGACACTGCACAAAGGAATGCATTGGTGGGGTAAGGAGTATGCGGTGAGGGAGGGTGAGGAGGCTGAAATCAGAGATGCATCAGTGCAGTTGGCTGTCATAAAATGTGTGACAGTCTCCATTAACATCTATTTGGGGATCCTGGCCACCGACCTTAGCATCACCTAGGGGCCATGGCCTAGTACAAAGTGACACAACAGTTTAATCCTGGCAGTCCCCCTAACTCTGTGACTTCCTACCCCCCTACCATCCTGCCCACTTCCTCCGCTCAGCTCGCTCCAGCCTGCTTCACGTCCCCATCTCGCCGGCCCCACCATTGGCGGGAGGGCCTTCTGCCACTCTGCCCCCACCCTCTGGAACTCCATCTCGCAGTCTTCCACTCGCCTCCTCCCGTGCCTCCTTCAAGACCCATCTCAAGACCCTCCTCTTAGACCGTGCTTTCGATCACTCTGCTTCCCCCCCTGCCCTCCACCTTCCCCAATCCTGACCCCCAGCTCGGGTCCGAAACTCTGACTGTCCAGCACCTTGGGACGTCCTCCCGACGTGAAAGGCGCTATACAAATGTAATTTTTTTTTGTTGACCCTGCAAGATGTCCATCACACAGGTGAGGAGATTCTTTGAAAAGAAGACCAGTGCAACACTTTTTGGTTACAATACTTAAGCCCTGGAATTGTTTGACTGAGCAGTGAAGGGATAACAGAGTGATGATCCTATTAATGATTTGATGGGAGGGTAGGTTCCATTTCTCGTGGTTGCTTTATCCAGTCTTATCTGTCCATCTAACAGGATGAAATCCTGCATGTTCAGGGTTGTGCTCTGTGAGTCATGTAAACAAGACCAAGAACTGTCAGAAATCCAGACCAGCTTTATTTTTAGAAAGCTAAACAGGAGCTGGGTGTATTCTGTTTGGAGTCTGCTTCTGTCTCCAAACAGAATACACCCAGCTCACAGAGGTCATGGGCCGTGACTGTGCTATGAGATAGTATTTCAGTGATTTGCATGGGCAGAGAATCCATGTGAGTGGAAAGATGTGCTGGGGGCTGTTGTGTGACTACCAGCACAGCATGCTTGTTACGTTTCATCACGGTAATTGTAGCCCTTTTAAGGACAAAATAAGGAAATCCACATTGTTTTGTTCTTCATTTCAATATTGTGCATGGTACTAGTGTTCACTCACCATAACAGGAAGGGGAGTGGCAGTCTCACGGAGCCTAGTTCAGGTGAGGACACAAGCTGCAAAGGTTCTGCAATTTGTAGAGGGAAGAGTTGGCATAGTCTAGCCTGCAAAAGAAAAGTTACAAATGAAATATGCAACAGACAAGGAAATATCAGAAGATCACAAGATTTACACGGCTGCCCATGATTTTAGACATTACAGTGTCTAGGATACATTTACAAGATTGTTTGGATGAAGAAAGCCCTTCAGCCCATTTGATCTCATCCTTCAAGAACCCCCACCCCCAACATTTCCTGTTCAAGTCATCAATATCCCACTGGGTGAAGTGAAACCTGCTAGTATCTTTCCTGAAATGGCCCTTTCTAACTCTAAACCAATGTACTCTTGTTCTATTGTCTTGGTGGATCCTGAGATATTGATATGGGTTTACTTTTTCAAACCCTGAGAGTCAAACTTGAGATGTTTTCCCTTTAATTTAATTTGAATTCAAATGGGAGTTTGTTTCCTAGTATGGAGCTTAAAAGATGAATGAGACAGGCTGATACTTTGCAACCACAGCCTTCATAAAGAGGTAAAGTAAAACTGATTTTCCGGCTTGGTTTTCCTGGAACACTGAGGATTGTTGTGAACAATTTATTAGGTCACATGTTGGAAAGTGCTGCAGTTTAATGGTCTTACATTCTTTCTTTGATCAGGTTAAAAATTCCTAAAGGAATATAGATTCCCAGGCAGGGCGAAACGTTGGGCAAGTTTCCGCGGTTGTTAGTCAATTGCCGCATCGCTTAAAAATAAGGGGAATAATCCCTTAAAAAATAATATTAATTTGGTCACTCAATCCACAACTATTTTTGGGACACTGCTGTGCACAATTGGCTGCCACGTTTTGCCCACAAAATATAAAGTAAATTCACTTTACGGTATATTCTGTGAAGCACTTTGAGTCGTCTCGAAGGCACGATAAGACGCTATATCAAATGCAAGGATTACTGTTATTATTATGAGCCGGCTCAGGCACAATGAGCTGAATGGCCTCTTTCTGTGCTGTAATATTCTGTGATTCTGTTGATGAAAGGTATTGCTATGAGGTCAGAGAGGTTAAGATTCTTCCCATTGGAGCAGAAAAGGATGAGGGAGTAATATGATAGAAGTATTTAAGATAATTAAAAGGTTCGGGAGCATTAATTCTGAAACGCATTTTCAATGATGAGGATTCGTAGACCAGAGAGAATGAATTCGAGGTTTTGCTAGAACAGAAGAGGATGAAAAGAACTTCTCCCAGGGATTTGCCATGGGTGGCTGTTAGACCAGAGTTATTTGGGGCTTCAAAATGACTTTTGGCAAAAGCACATGCAGAAGAAGATACAAAGAAAGAGCAGGGAGATTGGCATTAGGGTGGATGGCTTCTTCGAGGAGCAAACACTGATAAAAAATGGGCCAACTAGTTTCCTACTGTGTCATGCTACAGTTCATTGTATATCATAAGGGATTGCATTAAAGAGTTTGCTATAGAAGGACTCTTGATGGGAGAGATGGACATTTCTGGGTTGCAAAGAACTCAGCTTTCAGTAGACTTAGAACTTAGTTGGTGGAAGCCACTTCTGGGAACTTGCAGAACCAGAATCAACCTAAATAAACTATAATTTATCTGAACATTTCAAAGTTGTTAGCTATTAATTTTGATAAATTGTTTGAATGCTTGTAGCTTAGTTATTGAATTCTGTTTTGTTAATGCATCTAGTTTTAGTTCAATATGCCTTTGTACACTTAAGTAATACTTGTCACTTTCCAATAGAAGAGGATGGATTTACTGGCTGCTGTACCTTGGTAAAGTTTTAATAGACATATTGCTGGACCATTTAGGGTTAAAGTCATAGTAAGCCCTTCTAAAACACAGCAATAATAGACAATCCGTTTTATAACTAGGGAAGAGAAATAATGAAAATAAGTAGGCCCAAATAGTAAAACTATTGGAAAAAGCTTGGCAACAGAAGAGTAAAATAAAATTCCACCACTGGAGAATGTTATCTTACATATGTCAGAGAGAAAAAACACAGCAGCATGGATAATAGAACAGGTATATTGAAGAGAGTGAAGGCAGATGGAACGGTGTCAGAAATCCTCAGAGTATCACATTATAAAGGTCACTAAATAACAAGAGTTCAAAAAACTGTTGAATGGGACTCCAGTAAAATTTACATAAGTTGTAGCAGACAAAGCAAAGTGAGTGATGAATGACAACATGAACTGCTAGAAGACTGGTATGTTTAGATGGAACCAGGTTGATGTGAAAATAGGGCATCAGAGAAAGTGGAGCCAGACCAGTAAGAGAACACATAAGAGGAGAGCTGGTTAGTGAGTCAGCTCATTCCACCAAGGGATGTTGGACTGCAAATGGAAGTGAAAAAAGGGAAGTGAATAAGACAAGATATTCTTGAACTTGCAGTCAGCATTTTACAGAAAAAGATGACAGTGGAGACCAGTAAATACCAAAGCAAGAGTCACTTATCACGGTGAGCAGTTCTGATTATGGCCTGAATGATTCCTAGGAGTAGATATGATTAATGAGTGAAGCAATTTTAATTTAGAAAGAAGCAAAGATGCAATCTTAACATTTTAAAGGATGTGAATTTAGCTTAATAAGCTTTAAACAATCGATTATAATCAATGAAATTAATTATACCAGAGTGACGGTAGTTAAGTATTTGTTAATTTATAACTACTAATTAGGTAAGTACCTGAGTGCCAATCCATTCAATAGGATCAGATGTTATCTCAGAACGACTACAAGATCATGGGAATGGTTGGCATAAAGAAGGCCCTTCAGCTCTTCTGATCTCATCCCTCCAGACCATATACCCATTATATAAAGCTGCTTTTCAAATGTGGCTAGTGTCCTGGCCTTAACCACGTTTCCTGACAACATATTCCAGTCATTTATCACCCTCCATGTAAAGAAAAGCTTCCTGGTATCGGTTCTGAAATTGCCCTTTGCAATGCTTAATTTATGTTCTCTTGTTCTAATATCTTGATACATCCTAAAGTATTCACCTAGGTTTACTTTTTCAATCCCATTTAAAATTTTATCAAGACTGAAGAGCTAATCGTTGCTCGGTTTGTCTTGAGGTGAAAGAGTGCACCTGGCACACAGCCAAACCTAACCACTCATCATAAGGTACAGTAACAAGCCACATAATAAACCAAGACAAGGACAATGAATCTGTGATAGTGGCAGGCCACATGATAACCACAGTTAGTACCGTCAAGTCTTAGCGTATAGCAATAGATCATGCACAAACAATGCCATGAATTATCGAGTACTGAGGTGAAAGGAAGTTGTTTACCAGCTAAGGGCTGGGACCATTCTAACTGAATAAAGTGGAAGGGTGGAGGGTGGAGACCCTCCAAGTAATTACAATACAGAACCAATGGAGTCCAAGGCAGGTATCAGCTGTAGGTGAACAATGGCAGGTGATGGAGCAATGTTACATGTGGTACAACACCAGAAATGATAGATGAACAAGACAGCTATCTTATCACAGAAAAGAGGGAGTCCAGAAGGTAAAGATAATATTATTGTTGAATTACTCATTCCTTAAGAATGAGATCCCACCAACATGAGAGACATGTTGGAAAGAGGGTGACCAAAGTTGTGATATAATAATCTTTGCATTTGATATAGCCCTTATCACATCTTGTAGACGTTTCAAAGCGCTTCACAGAATACACTGTAAAGTGAATTCCCAACATTTCCCCCTGCCGGGAATAGAATCCAGGTCTCTCACTTACGAGGCGAGTGCTCTAACCACTGCGCTACAGGGCTCCATCTACCCTATTATCTAAAAAAAGCATCATTTCTTTAAGACTTATCAGACATTGTAATGGTATCACAACCTTTTGGTCACTCTGTATAATTTAAATTGTATATGGACAATATTTAATCCTAGCACAGTATATTTGTGGGACACAAATGGTGTGCAAATTGGCTGATGTATTTGCCTACCAATACAGTCAATTAACTTTACAGCTTTGGCACACAGGTGCCATATCAAGTGCAAGCATTATTATTATTTATTATTTTAAATGGATAGCGGCCTGTAAGGGCTAGAAATGCTTATCTCACCTACACTAGTCAAACGTTAGTCACTGTCACTGGATGCAGCAGAAAACACGCTGTCTTATTGTCTCTGATGCCGTGTCCAGAGGTGCAAAGACAAAACCATCTCTTGTACCATTGCTTCACTTGCAATGACCAACTTTACAGCACTGAGAGTAGGGCTGCGGTCAGTCACTGTGCTGCATGGTACATAGTGTCCACTAGTGTCAAGTGCTCTGTGTGAGGGGTGCTATATAAATGCAGGTTGTTGTTGTTGGATAATATATGGTCTCTGTGAGGAGAAGCTGAAGAAGCTTTGTGTTTCAGGTAAAATGCAAGAGAGATTTAACAATACAGATACACTAGGTTTAGAATTTGAAATATTTTAAGATTCAAAGTAGCTTCTGACCAGTGGAAAGGGCACTGTGAAGACTAATATTGGTATTTAAGGACTTGTATAACAAAATAACCATACAACACTGGAATTTAAAGAATTCCAAAACAAAAGAAGTTGAACAAAGAATGTCTAGGGAAATAAATCAGGAAGGGAAAAATAGAATTAAAGAAATCACATAAAAAGTTAAAATATCTAAACACTTTATCCTTATCAAAAACTTCTATTTATTTATACATAAGGCACCATTAAATGAAGAATTGACAGCATACAGTGAGGGTGAGGTTCAGAGATTCAAAGACATTCCTGTTCAGATTGATACAAAATAAAGGATGGGATTAAGAGGAATGTTGGAAACAGATGGAAGTAATTTAAGCAACTTTTAGCACGTCATTTACAAAGATTTACAAAGAATATACATCACAGAAACAGTACATTCATCTCAACCAGTCCGTGTCTGTGTTGTACTCCACATTAATCTAAGAGGAGTTGTTAATAGAAGAACTTGAAAGGATGGAAGGAGGTAACTCATATAGGTGTGTAAAGAGGTAAGTAAAACATATTGATGAAGTGGACTTGCCCTTGGCTTATCTCTGCTG